GGACTTTACTGTACCAAAGATTGGTGTAGTGCAAAATTAAAGTCCTTCTTGGGCCTTATGTAGGAGGGACATATCAAACCCTTGATATTGGCTATGATATGAGTTCCATATAGTTATATAACAAGTAAATATGGATTAAGTAACCATGTTTCATATTCTTATTTCCTGTTTTTTTCAAATATGTTCAACTTTTTTTTTTCTAAGAATAAATCAATGAAACTTCTTAGAAATTAGTATTTTAGTATTTGAATTTTCTCAGTTTGCATTTTCACTTGCAATTACTTCAGAGTTTTTTTGGTCAGGGCATATTGCTTAAGTTACATCTATAGATACCAGTGGCATAAAAATTTCCAGAATGCTTTAATTTTGCAAACTGTTAGTTGGTATGTTAGTTTTTCCTCAGTATCTGAATAAACCATATTTTTGTGCTGTTAGGGAATTGAGATTGAATTAAATAAAACAAAACACAGCATTTCTAAAATATTTCATAATGATTTGTAGAAGTGTATAGGCATAGATTTTTGTTAATAAAACTAGACTTACTTTTACAAATTTTTATAACATGAGATTTTGAGTATATTTTTCAAGAGTCAAAAATGCAGTCTTTTGTGTTCGTATTTGAAATCTGTTTTAGAATAGATTTTATACTCATAAATCAATTTTCAAAAAAGCTCATTTGAAATAAGGATCATAGACCTAAATACAAAACATAAATTTGCTGGGTATAGTGTTACTCAGCACCTGTAACTCCCAGTGACTTCGAAGGCTGAGGCAGGAAGATTGTAATTTAGAGGTCAGCCTCAGCAACTCAGAGAGACCGTGTCTCAAAATTAAAAATAAAAAAAGACTGGGGATGGGGCTGGGGTTGTGGCTCAGTGGTAGAGTGCTTGCCTTGTACATGTGAGGCACTGGGTTCAATCCTCAGCACCACATAAAAATAAATAAGCAAAATAAAGATATTGGGCCCATGTATAACTAAAAAATATTAACAACAAAAAAAGACTGGGGATGTGGTTCAGCAGTAAAGCACTTCTAGGTTCAATGCCAGTACTCCTACTCCAAGCAGTTTTTAAAATATAAACAACAGTGTAGAGAGAAAATCTTTATGACTGGGTTATGAAAAGATACAATAATAGAACTTAGAAGAAAAGAAAAGTTAACACTTAGAATAAAAAATGGATAAATTGGACTTCATCAAAATTAAAAATCTGCATTTTGAAAAAACTCTTAAAATGGAAAAACATGCCATGGGTTGGAGAACATCTTTGTAAAACACGTCTGATAAAGAATTTGTATCCAAATATATAATGAATTCTTAAAACTCAGTAATAAAAACCAGGCATGGTGGCTCACACCTGTTATCTTAGAGACTCGGGAAGCTGAGGCAAGAGAATCGAATCACTCAATCTGTTTTTCAAAATAGGCAAAAGCTTGGAATGGATACTTAAAAGAAGATACATGTACCTTGTTAGTTCAGTCATTAGAATACAAATTAAAACCATATGAAGTACCAATATATACCCATTAGAATGGCTAAAAAGCAAAACACAGGGCTGGGGCTGGGCCTCCGAGGTAGAGCGCTTGCTCAGCATGTGTGAGGCACTGGGTTCAATTCTTAGCACCACATACAAATAAATGAATAAAAGAAAGGACCATCAACATCTAAAAAGAAAAAAAGTTAAAAAACAAAACCAAAAACACTCCCTAAAACCACAAAACCAAATGCTGGGCAGAATGCATTGCAACTGGAACACTAACATGTCACTAGTGGGAATGCAAAATGGTACGACTACTTTGGATAACGAATATTTTGAAATATATTTGATCTAAGTCTTTATTTCTTAATGTACAATTCCTAAAATACTTCTTGTATGCTAAAGAATTGAATGGTGACTGGCAGTCCCTAGTAGCTTCAGGATGGGGACTGGTCATAGGAAGCCCAAGGCATGGTTAGAGAGTTGGGAATTTTAGCCAGGCACAGTGGCTCAAGAGGCTGAGGCAGGAGGATCTCAAGTTCAAAGCCAGCCTCAGCAAAAGAGAGGCGCTAAGCAACTCAGTGAGAACCTGTCTCTAAAGAAATATAAAATTGGGCTGGGGATGTGGCTCAGTGGTTGAGTGTCCCTGAGTTCAATACCTGGTAACCCCCCCACTCCCACCCCCCAAAAAAAGAGAGAGTTGGAAGTTTCAGACTGCCCCTCAATTTCCAGGAAGGAGCTAAGGGCTGAAGGTTAAGTTGATTACCAGTGATTTGATCAGTAAATGGCTTTACTTCCAGTAAAGTCCCAAAGCCTGGGTTTGGAGAGCTTCCAGATAGCTGGACACGCGGAGGTTCCTAGAGGATGGAACGGCAGGGGAGTGGAGGAGTGCTCTCTGCCCACCCCTCACCCTGGGCCCCTCTTCATCTCTATTTTTTGTGCTATCCGTTTTAAAAACTAGTGACTGTATTTCACTGAGTTCTTTGACCCACTCTTGATAAATTAATCAAATCCAAAGGAGAGGGGCTTGGGAGTCCTGATCTATAGCCAATCAGAAACACAGATAAAACAACCTGGGGCTTGCAGCTAGCATGGAAGTGAGGTGCAGTCTGTAGGGCTGGGACCTCAACCTGTGGGGTCTGTTGCTATATCCAGGGACATAGAATCAGCATAGAACTGAATTAGCAGACACCCAGCTAGTGTCTGCTGTAGTATGTGGGGAAAATCCCCCGCACATCTGGTATCAGAAATGTTGAGTGATTGTATTGAATTGAGAGTGGAGAATAGGAAACAACACTTTGGTATTTCCTCTGTATCTCAGAGTATGGAAGGAAAGACTGAGCTTGTTTTTCCAATATCCTCAGAATAACCATTTGGCAGTTTCTTAGAAAGTTAAACATATGTGGTGATTGTAAAATGTGTCCTTGAATTCTTTGACACGGCCACAAAACGTCAAGCTAAATCTTTCTGTTCTTGAGTGTCAGTTGGACTTAGTGACTTGCCTCTAATGAATGGAATGTGACAGAAGTGACTGTGTGTCATTCTGAGACTAGGTCATAAGAGGCAGCCTCTTTCTTGGATCACTGGGTCTGGGAGAAGCCAGTTGTCATGTCAGGAAGGCGGTCAGCCTGTGGAGGGCTCACATAGGGAGAAACCTAGGCCTCCTGCCAGTAGCCAGTGCCACCCTGTTATCTAAGCTAGAGGTCCCAATAGATCAGAGTCACCCACCTGCTGCCCTGGGTGTCCTCTGAGAGTCATGGTGAAGCAAGAAAGGAATTTATTATTTAGTGGCCACACCGGGAAGAAACAGGGACCTGTGTCCTAATCCCGGTTTTGGGGTGCTGACAAAAGCTTCAGGACTATATCATGAAGGACAGAAGCAGCAGGTGGCGGGGGCAAGGAGTTTGTGTACTCAGGGAGTCTTGGTTACACTGTGGTCAGGTTCATCTCTCTCTCAGGTCAGGCTCTGAGGGATTCTGCTGGCTCCAGGGAAATCATCCTTCTTGCTTGAGGGAGCAGTTCAGTTCCCATGACGAGATGATTGCTCCCACTTGGGGACAACCTCAATTCCCATCATGGAACACCTGGGGGACAGCCTTCTTTTCCATCATGGTTATCTACCTGCAAGATTTGCTGTTCCTGGAACCTTGAAAATACTTTAGTTGCTCTTAGCTTGGTGCCTGCAGCCTTGGCATGGGATGGAGAGGTTAGGTAAATTAACCTTGCATTACCAGTTTTTAGACAGCCACTTCTTCAGTGATTAACAAGTCTGTGGGCAGATTTGAGCAGGAATCTGACCCAAAGTTCAAGGCAGCAAAGGAGACAGATACAGAATGAAGGCAGAGATGCGAGGCTTTTATCATGCTTTTAATTACTTATTGGACACCTGCAGGCCCAAGTGAAGAGTCATTGCTTTTTAGCAAAAACAGCCTCTAAGTCCCAGTTATAGTGCCATTGAGTCATCTTGGAAGTGGTTCCTCTGTCTGCCATCAAGCCAGTGACCGCAACACTGGACAACTGAGACACAGCTACTCAGCCTCATCATCCCACAGTCCTGGCCCACAGAAACTGTGTGACATCACAAATGTACATTGTTATTTTAAGCTGCTATGTTTTGGGGTTATTATGCAGCAACAGATAACTGATACAGTAGATAACTAAACTACCTAGAAGTCTCACTCCTAAAAGAATGAAAATGTTCACATAAAAGCTTATACAAACTTCTTGGCACAGGGCACATGCCTATAGTCCCAGTGACTTGGGAGGCTGAGGCAGAAGGATCACAGGTTCAAGGCTAGCCTCAACAACTTAGCAAGATTCTCTCTAAAAATAAAAAGAACTGGGCATAGGAAAGAAGCTAGTCTTGAAAGGATATGTAGCATATAATTCTATTTATTTTACTCTCTGGAAGAAGTGAAAATACAGGGACAGAAAGCATGAGCCCAGGGTCTGGCACTGACTAAAAGGATTGACTGCAGAGGGACTTGAGGCAACTTTGGGGTATTGGAACTGTTCTGTAGCTTGACTCTGACTATCATCATCTAATGGTATGAGTTTGTTCAAACTCAGAATTATATGCCAAATGTATAAATTTATTGTACATACATTATATCTCTTTCTTTTCCTCCTCTTCTTTTTTTTTTTTTTTTTTTTGGTTGTTGTTGTTGTTGGACTGGGGATGGAGCCCAAGGCCTCATATATGCTAGGCAAATGTTCTACCACTCAGAGAGGGTTTAAGTTGCCCAGGCTGGCCTCAAACTTGTAAACCTCCTGCCTCAGCCTCCCAAGTCACTAGGATTACAAATGTCTGCCACCACACCTGGTCATAAATTATATCTTAATGAATAAATCTGATCAGCAAAATTCATTTAATGAAAATGATTATTACACCTAACAAAGTGATAGATTTGGGACATATCTGTAGTAATGCTACAGAACCATGAACTATGAACGCTTCTGAATGTGATAATAGGCAAACCTCTGAGTCATAATTTACTGAAATGGAAGTACTTTTCTGGTTTTTAGGTCTTATGAACTAACACGGAAGGACCGACTGTACAAAAACATCATTCGAATGCAGCACACGCACGGATTCAAGGCTTTCCACATCCTTCCTCAGACCTTCCTCTTGCCAGCTGAGTACGCGGAATTCTGTAGTAAGTGCTTGGCTGAGAATGCCCCAACCCCTGGGCCTGATCTTGGGGCACATTTACCCTAGAGACACCTCATGATGTCAACCACCTGGGGCTTTTCAGTCTTTAAACAATTGTGGTTCTCTAGTAAAACAGTTGCAGAGATAACTTTAAAACTATTTTTATTCTGATTGTGCACGTGTACATTTACTCTTGGTAAATGTATGTAAGGACACATTGGTGTCATAGGTGTACCGTGTCTTGGGACTTTGCTTGTCTCTTTACCAAAGAGAGTTAGTGTCTGTGTAGACACTTGATACTTTTGCATATGAACCACAATGCTTCCTTTTTTGGGGTCTCTTTTTCTTTTGCCACCTAAGCATTGTTCTTAGCACATTGATTTCTGGATTTGTGTGATTTATGTTCTTTGAGGTACAAGATCATATATCTTTTGATGTTAGGCTTTGGAAGTACCAGTGAGACCCACCTTCTCTACTTTGAATTCAGACTGATAAAAAAGTACACATAGAAGTCAAATAGGGATTTAAATGTCAACTGTATTACTGGTAAAATGATGTAGGAACATCTGACCTAGATCCAGGTCTAAAATTGGCTTCTTATTTCTTTTGCCTCATTGTAACGTTATCTACCTAGACCCAGGCCGAAGAGCTGGGCTATTTCAGATCCTCCTTGCGGGCACAGCCTGACTCTTAAGGGTAGGCTTCATGCACAGAAGGGACAGAAATACAAAGAAGGTCTGAGGCAGGTCTGTGGAGAGAGTCTAAATAGTTAACATGATAGTCGCTAACACTTGATGAACATTGCCTTTCTACTAGGTACTTCTTTAAAACCCTTTACTCTGAGGGAGTTTTAGAGACGAGGAGACAAAGGTATATATTGGGAAGGAATTTCCCCTAAGTTCTGCAGCTTGCACGTGGTGGAAGTAGGAATTGTGGTAGTCAAGCTTCAGATGCCATCTGTCCATCCCAGTGCTGCATTGCGAGACACCCTGGGTGGCATACCTGCAGTGATCACTCCCAGCTTGACCAGGGAGAAAGGGTACTTCTGTGAGGAGCGTCAGGGGAGACACACTAACAGGACAAACAGAAAATTTCTTCTCAATAAGTCCAAAAGAGAGACTTCCTCTTTTATGAATGGAGGAAGTGGTACGGAGAGTAACAGAGTTCTTCCTAGTCTCCCTGGCTTTGGGTTCTTCTGTCGGGCTTGCCAGTCTGATTGGGTCATCGGATGGGTGTTCATCCTTTGGAAGAAGAGAGCAGTCAGGAACTCTGATACCACTTGTGACTCCAGTGGGGACCATTGGCTGGCAGTTCACTGTTGGCGCATAGAAGGCTCTGAAATGCGTCATATAGCGCACCAAATAAATAAGTTGATTTTCCAGCTATAGTGCACTCAAAGCTGAGCATTTGTAGTCAGTAATTTTTTTGTTGGGTACAGTGGTGCATGCCTGAATTCGAGCTCCTCAGGAGGTTGAGGTAGGAGGATCATTTTTGCTTGATTGCTTGATAGGTGCTTAGTAAATATGTATAATATTATTTCCTATTTCATGTTATGTTTAATTATATTATTATGTAACAAAAGTAAAAAATTATGAAGTAAACCAACACGACAGTGCAAATATGTTTCAGCTAACATGTCAACAATATAAAATGGTTCCAGATGTGAACTCCACAAGTCCAGAGTAATTCTCTATGAAAGCCTAAATTTCGTCTTAATCCCCCTAGCCTTCTTCCCTGGTCTTTCTTACTCTGCTGAAGTCCTGCTACTCTGTGGAGGTGATGGGATGGTGCCTTTGGGTGACTGACAGTCTGAGCTCTCAGTGCAGGGGCTTCTCCAGCCTGTCAGTCACACTCATGTGTGTTCTACTTTTTAACAAACATGAGTTCAGAAGGTCACTAGAACACGGAGCATTATTACAGCCCTGACCCAAAGCTACCACATGTAGACTCCACAAGTGCAGGCAAGTGGTTGAGGCTCCTTGATGCCTGGTACAAACCAGTCACTGTTGTTGCCACCCAAAGACCACAGCGCAGGTGCAGATGTACTATGCCTGCGGAAGAGAGGACGGGAGGACATGAAGTAAAGAGGAATCTTATTGGCTTCAGTCTTCCCAGCATGCCAGGCATTCTGTGTCACCTGTCCACCATCTGTTGCCTTTTACACTAAAATCCATTTGAGAGAAATCCAACAGTATCAGATTGTGTGGCCAACTTTAAATATTAGAGGGGAAAACCACCTTCTCTTTCATGGAGACATTTTTGGTTAAGTCTCTTTTAAGTTCCCTTCTTTTCCTTTGGTGTCCATCTAGCATATTCCACTTGGAAATTCCATTTTTCCATGACTCTTGTGTTCCTGAGCCTTAGTGTTTAATTGAGTATGGGCAGTAGAAGATTTTTTGAGAAGGAAGGGGATTAAACAGACTGAACTTGCTTTAAGAGCCGTGGCAGTGACATGGCCACATGGATGTTCAGTGTGTGGACTCCACTGTGCAGCCGGGTGGCGGGAGAGTGGAGGATAGTGAGGCTTGTTAGTTGTGAGGGTGAGGCAGGGCCTAGGATGCCTCAGAGGTTGAGTGTGAGAAAGCTAGGGGATTGCCAAGTTACCCTGACTGGCCCAATCTTTTGGGCTCAAGCAGTCCTCCTGCCAGTCTCCAGAGTGCCTGGACTTCAGCCTTGTGCTACTGTCCTGCCAGGATCATGAAGATTTTTTTTTTTTGGATGGTGTTGTGGGTTGAACCCAGGTCCTCACAGGATCATTAAGTCTTTAACAAGGGGACATAACCAGGCACATGAAGGAGGAGCGGTTACAGGACAAGAGGCGTGTTAAATGTACATATGGTGTGGATTTGAAGTGCCTGTATGGCAGCCATTAAGTCAACTTTGAGTTTGGCTAGAGACATAGATTCTGAAGATTGCAGATGGAAGAAATTACTAAAGGGAGAGAAAAGAAAGAAGAGTCCCCACAGAGAACCAAGGAGGAGAGAAAGACGAAAGAGGAGCAAGGGACAGAGGTCTAGAGGAGTAGGAAAGAGTTTGTGGGAAGCTTGAATAGAAGAGTGAGCTGTGGAGCAGGAGGTGTGTGTCTTCCCTAATGGGAGGGAAGGAAGAAGGCTGGTCCAGATAAAATTTTAGAGGGAGAGGAAAGCAGGTGAGTGGGGTTAGGATAGGGATTCCCAGCTTCTTACTGAGGAGGACTGTGAGGTGTTGTGTCAAGAGCGAAGGGCCTGCAGGAGGGCTTGGGTTTCTGCAAGGGGCAGAAAGGGATTGAAATGGTTCCTGTAGGGGCTTTGAATGAGAATTGATGAGGATTGAACATGAGGGTTGCCAGGGAACACTAGGGATATCACCAAGGGGATTTTGTGAACTTAAGTTTCTGTCCTAAGAAGAGAAAACCTTAAATCTGTCATTGCAGAGATCTAGTCCAGACACCGGCCATTGTGTCCAGAGATGTAGAAGCATGGGTACTCCCTAAACTGTTCCCAGTAATTAGAGCCTCGGGATTGGAATACACCGCAGGCCTTCTCAGGCTCCTGCTTCCCCTCGCCAGTTATGTATGGTGTTTAGAAGAACTGAAGGTCTATAACCCCGAAGAACCTGACCAACTCCAGCCACTTGCCCTAAAGGGTAGCTTTTAAGCAGAAAGAAGATGGGCTGACACCAGTAAAAAAAAAAGTCAAACTTCCCCCAGAATTATACTCTGTGGCCATCTCTTGTTAGAATAGAGGCTGAGAAATGATTTTAAGATCTGTGCAAAATTTTGATATCAGCTAATTCATTACAGATACCTGGGATTTCAAAGCAGTGAGTGAATTTCTGAGATCATAACTTTATAGAGTTATAAGAAGTCTTAGAAAATCAGATGAAACCCCTTATTAAAGAACAGAGTAGGCAGTTCACACAAATTACCTGTGTTGTCATATACTGGAAAGCTGGTGGTAGAAGGATCTTTCTCCTCCTGCCTCGTTTCTCTGTTGTATTGAGCACGCTGCCCCTGTAGGACAGCAAGGCACTGGAAAGTCTACAGAGCTTGTCTAGAGCATCTTCATCCAGGCAGACACTCTAGTCCTAGGCTCTGCCTTTGCCTTGAATGTTTCTTGCTTCCTGCTCACATTTTTAGCACTTGTGAAATAAATTGATCCTTATTCTGAAATATCACAAACCAAGGTGAAAAGCCCAGCATAGAAGACAAGTCTTTGATATTTAGAATTTCGACAACATGACAGTAATGAAGCTAGTTCACAAAGCAGATTGATTATACACACGTTAGGTGGAACATTCGCATGTGGCTGGACCTTCCCCTTCTTGGGCATGCTGTCTCCATTTTTATAGCACCAGACACTTCTTCACTCTGAGTCACTGTAATTACTTATTTCATGGCTGTCCTTCTGCTAGTCTATCTTTGTGAGGACAAAGGCCCACTACTATATGACTCTTGCTTAGCAAACTGATTGACACAAATTGGATACTTAGAGCTGTTGAATTAACGAACGAAGCTTAGAAAATTTTTACATTTTTGCTTTAATATTAAAAGCTTGTCCTGTGTTCAGTCAGTCTATTGTCTCAAAAATCTGGGGGAAATGGCACAATAAAAAATAGACTCATTGGCCTCATTTTATGGAGATTTGACTTTTTGACTTCTCTAACTATAAACCTGTCTTCTATAGTGGGACTTTAAAATTATATGAATTGTATTTTTAAAAGATTCATGATATAAAATATATAAAACAGCAATCAGTGAAAAGCCTTTCTCCTCCTGTGCCTTAGTCACCTAGTTCTCCCTAATTCTAATCATGTCCTTATAGAGACATTGTTGGCATTTACAAGCAAATAGCTTGTGTGTGTGAACAGAGGGGAGCATAAAATTCACATTGTCTTGCACCTTGCTTTTTTCACGGACAGACTATCTTTGCAATCATTCTGTATCAGTTAATTAATACTGTTCTCATTTTGCATGTTTAATATTCTATAGATCAGGCTTCTGCAAACTACAGCCCTTGAGTCAGATCAGTTGTGCACCTGTTTTGGGGGCATCCCTTGAACTAAGTGATTTTTACACTTTGAAGTGATTGGGAAAAAAAATCAAAAGAAAAACAAAATTTTTGATGTGGAAATTGTATGAAATTCAGTTTGTACAAAATAAAGTTTTATGGGCACATAGCCACGTCCTTTTTTTTTTTTTTTTAAACATATTTGCTGTTTTCAGGCTACAGTGGCAGAGAGTGTGCATGGTCCACAGGGCCCAAAAATGTTTACATCTGGCTTTTTACAAACAGTTTGCCGACCTCCCATGGATGTGATATAGTATATTTAATTAATCTTTTGCTACTATCATGCAGCATTCTATAATCTTACACATACAGCATTTCATATGTGTATGACTAGAACGAGTAGTGGATTCAGTTCTGGAAGAAGAACTCCGAGGTTTAGATTCTGTGTGGTACACGTTTTTTTCTAATTCTGTTAAATTGCATCAACAGGGAAAGGCAGGGGAAGGTGGGGAAAGTGGACAGAGACTTCTCTTCTGGTGAAATGGTTTGTAGCACTAACAAAGTCAAGTTCCTGTTGGGAGGCCTCGAAGAGACTATTTGGCAGGGAGAGGGAAGAAAAGGAGGCAGTAGTTGCTGGCAAGTGACCCAGAGAGGGAAGCTGTCCTGGGATTGCTGGCGCAGGCTGCCTGCTGCAGGCCCCATTCAGGACAGGGGGAAGTGGTGTGCTTATTTGGGGGAGGAGAGTTGTGAATAAGCACACAGGGGATGCACTTGCCTTTTAATAACTCAAACCAGAGAAACATAAACTTTAGGGAACTTTATTGGGATTATGCTCTTGTGTTCTAGATAAAATGGTAATACTCTGATGTAAAGCAACCGAGGTACTTTGAAAAAGGAAGTTTTGTGTGATCTGCTCTGAAGCACTTGTATTTATTTGCAAGTTTATTTCTTCACAAATCTATTATTTTCCTGTCTATTCTTTCACAGAAAGAAAAATATAAAGAAACAACAACACATTAATTTCCATCTTTCACTGCCCCCCACCCTGCCACCCCCTGCCGCCCAGCCCCAGCCCCTACTGGAGAGGGCTAGTATACCCCTCTCTCTAGGCTGGGATATGAGAATTCATCAGCACCCTCAGTCCTCTCCTCCCCATGTCCTCTGACATTCCCCAAGTGGAAGACAGAGCCATCTGCCCCCACTCCCTACCCCTGTGCAAGCCTTTGGGATTCCTATTATCAATTGTCTGCTTTCTTCTCATGACCCAAAGATGTTTAAAGTGTACACATGAACTTGGGGAAGGATGGAAGCAAATGGTTCCTTGTACCTACCTTTGAATTATTGTGTGTCCTCATCCCTTGCACTTTGCTAAATTTAAGGGGATTGTTTTTTTTGAAAGCTTTGAGAAATTATTTGAGGAATGTAACTATACCAGGAGATCTGACTTTTGAGTTGCATTGTCACTGTTTGCTAAAGGTCCTTTGTTTAACAGAGAATTTCAGATTCCCAAAGGTGGTTAGTGACAGTAATAGACTCAACACAGAGATTTGGCCTTGTTTTCATCCTCTTACTTAAGAAAGAGAGGAAATGGTGGAAGAAATAATTATGTGGGTAATTTTGCTATCCTCTTTTCTCCTCCTCTCCTTCTCCCCTTCTGGCTATTTTACTTTTTAAGACTAGTCCGAAATTACAGATAATTTTAGCTACTGCCTTCCAGCTAGAAATTTGGAAGCTTCTTTGGGTACCTGAATAGATAACCATTATGGAAACTTAAGATAATAAACTCATGTTCCTTCTTTCTCTTTGTTTCTCTCTCCCCTTTTTTTATCTCCCAATATTTGAGCAGATTCATATTCAAAGGACCGGGGACCTTGGATAGTAAAACCAGTGGCCTCTTCTAGGGGGCGGGGCGTCTACCTGATCAACAATGTAAGTATGTAGAAGATGGCAGACCCAGTACTCACGTGGTTCCTTCTCTTTAGGAGCCCAGGTTTCCTCCTGAAATCTGCATTCAAAAGTGAGCAGAGGGTGGCCTGAGCTGGCTGTTGCTCACCTGCTGGCAGTAACCTTCCTGGGCCAGAATACTCCTCCAGGGCTAAAAAGTCACTTGATCAAATACAGGGAAAGGCAGCCTTTGTTGTTGTTTTTTTCTGGTCAGCAGAGTAGAGTTCTCTTTTCTGCTTTCAGTAGCATATTGTTATGTTATTTCCTTAGCACTGAGTTGGTAGCTCATACCTTTAATGGAGCAGCGGGTGGGTTCCTGCTTTCAGAGGTATCCAGCCACTTAACCCTGCGTGGGTGTGGCATCCTTGCCGCTGCTGCGCCTTCCTCCTCCCTTCCTGCTTTTCTTCCTTATTCTCTTTTTGTTTGTGATCCTGGGGATTGAACCTAGACCCTTGTGCATATTAGGTTTCAAAAGTATCGGTATCCATGAGCAGAACATCCAAGAAATATGGGATAACATCAAGAGACCAAATTTAAGAGTCATTGGGATACAGGAAGGGACAGAGTTTCAAACCAAAGGAATGAACAATCTATTCAATGAAATAATACGAGAAAACTTCCCAGACTTGAAGAATGAGACAGAATCCCAAATCCTAGAAGCCTACAGGACGCCGAATGTGCAAAATCATAAGAGACCCACACCTAGACACATTATAATGAAGATGCCCAACATACAGAATAAGGAGAGAATTTTAAAAGCTACAAGAGAAAGGAAGCAGATCACATTTAGGGGTAAGCCAATCAGGATAACAGCTGATCTTTCAACACAGACTCTGAAAGCTAGAAGTTAAAAGAATTTGCAGCTAGAAAACCATCTCTTCTAAACATCCTTGGCAAAACATTACAGGAAGAGGAAATGGAAAATAACAATGAAAACCAACAGTGGGAGGTAGGACAGTAAAGGGGGGGAAAATAATCAAAGAGGAAAACAAACCATGTTTAGTAACATAAATAAACAAATATGGCTGGAAGAACAACCCATATCTCAATAATAACCCTAAATGTTAATGGCTTAAACTCACCAATCAAGAGACACAGGCTAGTAGAATGGATCACAAAACAAGACCCAACAATATGCTGCCTACAGGAGACGCATTTGATAGGAAAAGACACACATAGGCTGAAGGTGAAAGGTTGCGAAAAATCATATCACTCATATGGACTTCGGAAACAAGCAGGAGTGTCCATACTCATATCAAATAAAATAGATTTCAAGCCAAAGTTAATCAAAAGGGATAAAGAGGGACACTACATACTGCTTAAGGGAACCATACACCAACAAGACATAACAATCATAAATATATATGCCCCAAACAATGGTGCAGCTATGTTCATCAAACAAACTCTTCTCAAGTTCAAGAGTCTAATAGACCACCATACAATAATCATGGGAGACTTCAACACACCTCTCTCGCCACTGGACAGATCTTCCAAACAAAAGTTGAATAAGGAAACTATAGAACTCAATAACACAATTAATAACCTAGACTTAATTGACATATATAGAATATACCACCCAACATCAAGCAGTTACACTTTTTTCTCAGCAGCACATGGATCCTTCTCAAAAATAGATCATTATGTCACAGGGAAACTCTTAGACAATACAAAGGAGTAGAGATAATACCATGCATCCTATCTGATCATAATGGAATGGAACTGAAACTCAACGATAAAAGAAGGAAGGAAAAAGAATACATCACTTGGAGAATGAACAATAGGTTACTGAATGATCAGTGGGTTATAGAAGACATCAAGGAGGAAATTAAAAAATTCTTAGAGATTAATGAAAACACTGACACAACATATCGGAATCTGTGGGACACATTGAAAGCAGTTCTAAGAGGAAAATTCATTGCTTGGAGTTCATTCCTTAAAAAAAGAAAAAAACCAACAAATAAATGATCTCATACTTCATCTCAAAATCCTTGAAAAAGAAGAGCAAAACAACAGCAAAAGAAGTAGAAGGCAAGAAATAATTAAAATCAGAGCTGAAATTAATGACATCGAAACAAAAGAAAAAATTGAAAAAATTGACAAAACTAAAAGTTGGTTCTTTGAAAAAATAAACAAAATCGACAGACCCTTAGCGATGCTAGCGAAGAGAAGAAGAGAGAGAACTCAAATTACTAGCATACGGGATGAAAACGGCAATATCACAACAGACACTTCAGAAGTACAGAAGATAATCAAAAACTATTTTGAATCCTTATACTCCAATAAATTAGAAGATAGTGAAGGGATCGATAAATTTCTGAAGTCATATGATCTGCCCAGATTGAGTCAGGAGGATATAGAAAACCTAAACAGACCAATATCAATTGAGGAAATAGAAGAAACCATCAAAAGACTACCAACTAAGAAAAGCCCGGGACCGGATGGGTATACAGCAGAGTTTTACAAAACCTTTAAAGAGGAACTAATACCAATACTTTTCAAGCTACTTCAGGAAATAGAAAAAGAGGGAGAACTTCCAAATTCATTCTACGAGGCCAACATCACCCTGATACCTAAACCAGACAAAGACACTTCAAAGAAAGAAAACTACAGACCAATATCTCTAATGAACCTAGATGCAAAAATCCTCAATAAAATTCTGGCGAATCGGATACAAAAACATATCAAAAAAATTGTGCACCATGATCAAGTAGGATTCATCCCTGGGATGCAAGGCTGGTTCAATATACGGAAATCAATAAATGTTATTCACCACATCAATAGACTTAAAAATAAGAACCATATGATCATCTCGATAGATGCGGAAAAAGCATTCGACAAAGTACAGCATCCCTTTATGTTCAAAACTCTAGAAAAACTAGGGATAACAGGAACATACCTCAATATTGTAAAAGCAATCTATGCTAAGCCTCAGGCTAGCATCATTCTGAATGGAGAAAAACTGAAGGCATTCCCTCTAAAATCTGGAACAAGACAGGGATGCCCTCTCTCTCCACTTCTGTTCAACATAGTTCTCGAAACACTGGCCAGAGCAATTAGACGAAAGAAATTAAAGGCATCAAAATAGGAAAAGAAGAACTTAAATTATCACTATTTGCAGAAGACATGATTCTATACCTAGCAGACCCAAAAGGGTCTACAAAGAAACTATTAGAGCTAATAAATGAATTCAGCAAAGTGGCAGGATATAAAATCAACACGCATAAATCAAAGGCATTCCTGTATATCAGCGACAAATCCTCTGAAATGGAAATGAGGACAACCACTCCATTCACAATATCTTCAAAAAAAAAAAAAAAAACTTGGGAATCAACCTAACAAAAGAGGTGAAAGACTTATACAATGAAAACTACAGAACCCTAAAGAGAGAAATAGAAGAAGATCTTAGAAGATGGAAAAATATACCCTGTTCATGGATAGGCAGAACTAACATCATCAAAATGGCGATATTACCAAAAGTTCTCTATAGGTTTAATGCAATGCCAATCAAAATCCCAACGGCATTTCTTGTAGAAATAGAGAAAGCAATCATGAAATTCATATGGAAAAAATAAAAGACCCAGAATAGCAAAAACAATGCTAAGCAGGAAGTGTGAATCAGGCGGTATAGCGATACCAGACTTCAAACTATACTACAGAGCAATAGTAACAAAAACAGCATGGTACTGGTACCAAAACAGGCGGGTGGACCAATGGTACAGAATAGAGGACACAGAAACCAATCCACAAAACTACAACTACCTTATATTTGATAAAGGGGCTAAAAGCATGCAATGGAGGAAGGATAGCATCTTCAACAAATGGTGCTGGGAAAACTGGAAATCCATATGCAACAAAATGAAACTGAATCCCTTTCTCTCGCCATGCACAAAAGTGAATTCAAAATGGATCAAGGAGCTTGATATCAAATCAGAGACACGCCTTCTGATAGAAGAAAAAGTTGGCTACGATCTACAGTCGGTGGGGTCGGGCTCCAAATTCCTCAATAGGACACCCATAGCACAAAAGTTAATAACTAGAATCAACAAATGGGACTTACTCAAACTAAAAAGTTTTTTCTCAGCAAAAGAAACAATAAGAGAGGTAAATAGAGAGCCTACATCCTGGGAACAAATCTTTACTCCTCACACTTCAGATAGAGCCCTAATATCCAGAGTATACAAAGAACTCAAAAAATTAGACAATAAGAGAACAAACAACGCAATCAACAAATGGGCCAAGGACCTGAACAGACACTTCTCAGAGGAGGACATACAATCAATCAACAAGTACATGAAAAAATGCTCACCATCTCTAGCAGTCAGAGAAATGCAAATCAAAACCACCCTAAGATACCATCTCACTCCAGTTAGATTGGCAGCCATCATGAAGTCAAACAACAAGTGCTGGCGAGGATGTGGGGAAAAGGGTACACTTGTACATTGCTGGTGGGACTGCAAATTGGTGCAGCCAATTTGGAAAGCAGTATGGAGATTTCTTGGAAAGCTGGGAATGGAGCCACCATTTGACCCAGCTATTCCCCTTCTCAGTCTATTCCCTAAAGACCTAAAAAGAGCATGCTACAGGGACACTGCTACATCGATGTTCATAGCAGCACAATTCACAATAGCAAGACTGTGGAACCAACCTAGATGCCCTTCAATAGATGAATGGATAAAAAAAATGTGGCATTTATACACAATGGAGTATTACTCTGCATTAAAAAATGACAAAATCATAGAATTTACAGGGAAATGGATGGCATTAGAGCAGATTATGCTAAGTGAAGCTAGCCAATCCCTAAAAAACAAATGCCAAATGTCTTCTTTGATATAAGGAGAGTAACTAAGAACAGAGTAGGGACGAAGAGCATGAGAAGAAGATTAACATTAAACAGGGATGAGAGGTGGGAGGGAAAGGGAGAGAGAAGGGAAATTGCATGGAAATGGAAGGAGACCCTCAGAGTTATACAAAAGTACATACAAGAG